GGGGGGGCTGGTTTGTGGTAGCTGTGGACGGCCCCCTGGAGTGATCGGCGAGGCCACACAGGCGCGGCAGGGGGGGAGGGCACGGCGGGGGGGGGGGCTGGGAGGGGGCGGGGGGGTGAGAAACTTTCGCAATGGCAGCGTTCGTCACCTGTGAAGCCGGGATGATTATTGTCGATAAAGTCGATTCATTGACAAACACCAAAAAATTGTAATCGACGATTTCTCGGGCATCTTAAAACAAAAAAATTGCGCCTCCATCCCGAAGGTGGGAAACCCCCTGAGAGCCGATTGGCTATTGGTGCCGATCACCTCACCGAGCCTTGCTAATCACCTCCCGTCCAGCGGCACACGGGGGCGGGAACTGATATGAGACTTTTTTTCTTTGCCACTGTTGAGCTTGTTTTATTATTTACCAAGCAATTGTACGGATAATCGGTAGAGTGATCGATTACTCAGATTATAATCGGAGAGCCCAGATCAAATCTAAACGTGCGTTTTAGATTATTTCTCTTATTTGGCTGCTAAAACTTTCCACGCGACAAGCCACTTCGTTGAGCTATCGTTTGGGGCCAGGTCGCTTCAGAAAAAATAATCTAATAGCTCAGTGGGCCTTACCTGGTAAAATAAAAGTTTGGCTTCATTTGTGTTTTTTTTGTTTACTTTTCCTATACTTTCCACTCCCAGCGTGTTTGTGTATTGTTGTTTGTTGCTGCCAATGTTTTGACTTCGTGCCCCAACTGGACATCTGTGGGATAAGAGGCTTTATAGCTCATCGGATTCCTTCGCTTAAAATAAATATTCTGATTTATGATTCTGAAAACTGCAATTAAGAGCGATGGGCACCGGCTGAGACACGATACGACCGCGAGAATGAGGTCAATTTAATAAATTCGTGAATCGACTCAACACGGTGAATCGTAATGATGAATCTGATCGCAGTGGGAGGTGGCGGGGGGGGTGGGGTGAATTGTTACCATGGAAACGATGGCAGTGTCATGGTAGGGGGTCCTCTGTGTGTGTTGTCGAGTGTAAAGGTGGCACAGGTGGTGCATCGGCCATTCATCTCAGTCAGTCAACCCATTGCACCTGAGTCTGCCCCCGTGACCTCCTGCCAGCGGAGGCGTTCGCTCACCTTCACGTTGTCCTCAAACGTGCACTTAGCCTGGCACAAGCGCCGTGGTGACGTCCCCGCCACTTAGTGGTGAACGGCGGTTCTTGCTGTAAAGGGAGCAAGTCGCGGTCCGCGGCTACCCAGTGAGTCGATGGGCCCCCCCGGCTCTGAGCCCCCCAATCCAGTCCCTTGCGATGGCACACAGCCTCTCCTCCGCTGTGTGCCCACGCGCGTTGGTGAACGTGGCCGAGTGCTTCCGAGTCACGCGGGCTCCGAAGGCAATGTGTTTCTTTGTTCTAGATTTGAAGCTTTCGTGACTGCAAGGATTCATATTCTTAGGTTTTTTTCGGTAAAGTCATGTAGGTAAAAAATTATAGTTAAAATTAAAATATTGTTATTTTACTTTGATTAATTTAAATTTAATTTTTTTACCTACGTGACTTTGCCGAAAAACCCTAAGAATATGTGTTTTTTTAGGTTTTTTGTTTTCGTTGTTGTTGTTTAAATCGAACGGTGGCTCTCAGCATCAACGTGGAATCGCCCTGATGAGCCCGAAAATTTCGACGCTGCACCTCGCAGAGCCGTCGCCTCTCACCCCGTGACCTGTGATGGGTTTGAGAGTCGCGATGCCCCACCACTCCCCCCCATCCCCCTCCCTTACCTCCCTCCCTCCCCCCACCACCTCGCTGTGATTAAAGAGTCGTCGAGGGCTGACCCGGCACCAAGTGAGCGGCAGGCGTGGCTGGGTAACGCCGCAACACGCGCTCAACATTCGCCGGTCAGAAAAAAAAGAAGTAAATAAATGTATTGAAATAACTAAATAAATAACTAGGCACCCGCACACCTGGGGACGGTGCTCCCCCGCGGGGCCGCACCTGCCGGGTGTTGGGTGAACGTCGCGATGCGACCCCCGTCGCCCGGTGTCACCACCGTGCCCCCTGCGACGTCTTGTCGCGGGACGTGCTACACGCGGTCACGCCCGGGGTGGGGTGGGGTGGTGGTGGGGTGAGGTGAGGTGGTGGTGGGGTGGTGTGGTGGTGGGGTGGTGGTGTGGTGTGATGGTGGGGTGGTGTGGTGGTGGGGTGGTGGTGTGGTGTGGTGGTGGGGGGTGTGGTGGTGGGGTGGGCCTCCTCTAGGTAACTGAATTGGGACACCGAGAGCGCTGTCGGCGAGCGTTCATTGCCGGGCGCGGCGTTCCGGCACAAGATGCCTCGCTCCCTCGCTCGCTCACTCTCGTGCGTTCTCGTTGGTGCGCTCATGGCGCACGACCCGCGTGCCACGTGGCAATGCGATGCCCTTCACTGCCTGACGTCTTGTGCGGGTTTGGCGACAGCGCTGAGAATCGACGAGAGCCCACTCTATCATTCTCAACACTCACTCTACTCTCTCATTCTCAACACTCACTCTACTCTCACCCTCACCCCCTCTCAACCCCTCTCACCACTCACTCTATTCCCTCACTCTCCTCTCACCACTCACCCCCCTCTCACCACTCACCCCCCTATCACCGCTTGCTGACTCCCCCCTCTCACCGCTGAGTCGACTGCGAATCTCGTCCAGGTTTTTGGCCAGAATGTCCCACCCACCCCATTACATGGCATACGTCCTGCGGTCATGTCAGCACAATGATCCCGGCGGTCCGGTGGGGGTGGTGGGGGGGGGGGAATAGGATGCATCGTGAAAATAAACCCACCTCGCTCTCTCACACACGCACACGCACGCTCTCTCACAACCGCCTCGACTCCTGCCAAGTGCTGGCGAGGGTGGGCCACCTCACTTAGGCGGGCACGTGGCCACGCAATAAGACGTTCGTGGCTTGGGGCTGGGCCAGGAATCGCGCGGAATTTCTCTCAACGCGGCACCGCCGCTCGGTTATCTGCGGGGTGTTTTGAGTTTCCCCACTGAGATGAGCGAGCGAGCAGAAGGTAGTCCCTGAGATGGATATGCCGTAGCCTCCAATGGAGTTAACTGTAAAAGAGTCCTGAGGGGGATGTCGTTGTTTCTAATATATAAATAAGCAGAACTCTGTTCTGTCTCCAAATATATCGTTTTTTTTAGTATGTCAGCCTATTGGCTTTCCAGACGACTAATGTTGCCCAAGAGCGTGCGTTTGTTTTAAACGAACACTGCTGCATTATTATAAAGCATTCGTCCGAATGTCTGTGCTGCGAGTTCCAAGCACCGTACATATGTACGCGCCATTGGAAGGAAGCTGCGTCTCAAGACGCCGTAAAAAAAAACAGGACGGGGGGGGGGGACCACCAAAAGCAGACAGACTTAGAGACCTCAACACGTTCGTTATGATCCAGGAGACAGTCACAGGGGCAGGGAGGGCCAATCGGAGGGGAATTGCACGTTACGCAAAAAGCACCGCAGAAGCAGTGTGCTGACTCCATCAGAGTAAACCATTGAATGTCAAGTTCTAAAGTAAATAGGGGCAGAGTGCGTGCTGGTGGTGGTGGAGCACTCAGTGGTGGAGTGCGTGGTGGTGGTGGTGGTGGAGGACTCAATGGTGGAGCACGTGGTGGTGGTTGAGCACTCAGTGGTGGTGAATTTTTGTCTTTGAAAGCCACTGAATCTTTGTCTTTGAAAGCCACTGAATTTTTGTCTTTGATATCCACTCGGAATTTTTGTCTTTGAAAGCCACTTACTTTTTGTCTTTGATAACCACTCGGAATTATTGTCTTTGAAAGCCGCTGAATTTTTGTCTTTGATAGCCACTCGGAATTTTTGTCTTTGATAGCCACTCTGAAATGTTGTATTTGATAGCCACTCTGAATTTTTGTCTTTAAATGCCACTTTGATTTTTTGTCTTCGAGAGCTACTGTGAATTTTGTTTTTGAAAGGCACTCTGAATTTTTATCTTTAATAGCCACTCTGAATATTTATCTTTAAAAGCCACTCTGAATTTTTATCTTTCAAAGTTGTTTGGACTTTTTATGGACTGTTTCTTTTCTCATGAAAAAGGGACCCGAAGTCTTAACTGGAGTCCATAGCCAGAAAAACAAAGAGGCCTGGTCAATACATCAAAGAGATGGGACATGAATATCAGTCTACTATTGGATCTGAGGTCGTGGGTTCGATCCCGACCCTGACACCTGCTATACATTTGGGAGTTGCGTGTCTCTCTCCGCGTGGCCACGTGGATTTTCCTCCGGGGTCCCTCCGGTTTTTCCATCCACATTTAGAATGAACATCACGCGTTTAGAGTATTTGGCTGCTATAAATGTCTACGTGATGATGAGCCACTCCGTTGAACTATCATTGGTGATAGCCAGGTCGCTTGTGAAAAAATATCGACACAGCTGAGTTGGCCTTACCCGGTAAAATAAAAAATAGTTTATAGTTTTCGTTTTTCACTCTTGCAGACTCTTCTTGGTTCTTTCGGTCACGTAGAATGGAAATAATAAAATAATAAAAATACAACATAATTTAATAATTGTCACGACGTTTCGGCCACAACGCAAGCAGCCGTCCTCAGGTGGACAGCAGGTCTGTCGAGTAGACAGCGTCTGAATGACTCACTCCAGGCTTGGAGCGACTATTTAAACTGGGATGGAAATAGTCACGCCAAGCCTGGATGGAGTCATTCAGACTCTATCTACTCGACAGACCTGCTCTCCACCTGAGGACGGCTGCTTGCGTTGTGGCCGAAACGTCGTGAGAATTATTTTATTATGTTTTATTTTTATCATTTTATTATTTCCCTTCTACGTGACTTTACCGAAAGAACCAAGAAGATGAATCCCTGCAGTCACGAAAGCTTTAAATCGAAAAATCTTGCAGACTCGCCGTGGCGCACAGCGGCAACGCACGGCTGACACGTACATTCCGCCCGGTGTTTTTCCGACCGCCCCCCCCCCTCACCACCGCCTCTGCCCCCCCTCAGGACCGCAAGCTGTCGCGCAGCGAGCGGCAGAGGTTCCGCGAGGAAGCCGAGATGCTCAAGGGGCTGCAGCACCCGAACATCGTGCGCTTTTACGACTCGTGGGAGACGAACGCCAACGTCAAGGGCAAGAAGTGCATCGTGCTCATCACCGAGATGATGACGTCCGGCACGCTCAAGACGTGAGACTCACGCGCGCGAGCGCTCGCACGCGCACATACACGCACGCACGCGTACATGCACGAAGGCAAAGCTGCATACAAGCACGCTCACTTGGGCCCTGTAATTCAAAATCCTTAAATGCACTAAATTATTGCCGTATTCTCGGGATTTCTTTTTGCTGTGTTTTAAAGCTAAAAGTTGAGAGGTGTGTCTTATAACCCAGCAAGTGCGCTCACACGCGCGTGCGTGTGACTGTTATTTGTGTCGCATTGTAGACACTGGCCACAAATATGGGGTGAGTCTTACTTACTGGAGCGTCTTATAATCCGGAGAATACGGTAATAACTGTGCGCATTTAAATACTTAACGATCGTGTGTATCCAGCCGCTTGAATTATATGAATCGGAAAAAAACACACTGTCTGCTTCACAGTGAACATTAAACATCCCATGACATTACTTGAAGGAAAAAAAACAGTGGACCATATGTGCCGCCGGAGTCATGGTCCAAGTTTTGGCAAAAAATGTAAAAACTATCCGCAAATTACTTAGCTGGGTAAACCCACATATCAGCATCGCCCTCCGCTACATACGAACATTCGACTTACAAAGTTTCAGAGGTACGAACGAACCTGTCCGTATGCCCAGTTGCAGCTGTTCACCATGCTATTGCCTGTTACAAGTTTATTTATTAAGAGATGAAGAGAGCAATTGTGCAGACATCTCCTGGTAAGTTTTTCAAGAGAGTAGAGAGGAAACACGAGCACTAAAGGGAATTAGCATCTACATCTGCAGAACATGAAGAACCAGTGGCATCTACATCTGCAGAACATGAAGAACCAGTGGCATCTACATCTGCAGAACATGAAGAACCAGTGGCATCTACATCTGCAGAACATGAAGAACCAGTGGCATCTACATCTGCAGAACATGAAGAACCAGTGGCATCTACATCTGCAGAACATGAAGAACCAGTAGCATCTACATCTACAGAACATGAATAATTAGTGGCATCTACATCTACAGCAGATTATACAACTTTTTACAGCCATTCCCCGTGTTTAGTGTACACGCCGTACAAATTGTTTCCAATTGAGAGGAATAAAATTGGACTTACGAACAAATCGACTTATGAACCCACATCGTTTGTAAGTAGAGGAGTCCGTGTAACCGGCAAACTACATCTGCCTGTGAAGCATAGCGTCTCGGTGCTTGCTATGAAAACAGCACGAATGCCATCGCCAGGACCTTAGAAGGGTTCAGGTGAGATGTACGGCGCTTTGAGTTGCCGAGGCGTTTAAGGTGAAAAGCTTCGGGGGTCAAAGTGCAGCCCTGAAATTGATCGCTCTCACCACCGAAGGCAGATGGGCCTCCACTCTCGAAAGGCCCTCGAGGAGTATAGCTTGGCCTACTCACTTCCTCAGGAATGGCTTTTTGCGTTCAGTTTGTTGGCCTCCTCCCGCACACACCTGCAATAAGCACCGTTGGCTACGGACGTTTGCGAAAGAAGTTCAACACACATGCAAGTCTTGGAAGAGGTGTCAGTACCCACACCTTACCCCGCCACACGCGACCTGCCCCAGCTGAGGAGGATTCAAGAAGCTGGCACCGTTGTCTCATCTGCTGCGCTGGGAGACTGAATTGCACAGGTGACCTCTGCATTGCAAGTGCGCTATCCATTGCAATGTAATGTGTTTTTATTATTATTATAAGTAATTATATAATGCGGTATTCGTGCATATTGCATCTCACAATGCTGCATTGCATGTAATGCGCATAGTTATTTAGTTATTATTTGTTCGACCAGGCAAGGCCCACTGAGCTATGTAGCTGTTTTTCAGAAGCGACCTGGCCACAAACGATAGCTCAACGAAGTGGCTTATCACGTGGAAATGTATCGCAGCCAAATACTCCAAACGGATTATTCTAAATGTGGAGGGATGAACCGGAGGGACCCGGAGAAAAATCCACGCAACCACGGGGAACAACACGCAAACTCCAACTATACAGCAAGCGTCAGGGTCAGGATCGAATCCACGAACTCCTGCAAACCAGGCGAGGCAGTTAACATCTCGCCACCGCGTCTCCCCGTTATGCAAGGGGGCAACCGGAACCGGCACCAACAATTGCCCAGTCCATGCGTGGCCTGCCGATAAGAGGCGACACTCGCTACGCGGCAGTCCCAGCGGATTGAACCGCTGCAAGAGGGCGCAAACCCAGAGAGGTTTGATGGCTGTGCCTTCCTTTCCTTTGAGACCGCGCTGGTAGGCGATGCCCCCTGGATCGCAGAGAGAGCCCCGTGAAGGTGCTCTTACGTAAAGGGGGCAGATGCCAATGTGCCAACCATGCGGTCCTGCGTAGGACACACACACACACAACAACAACAAAACACAACAACCCCCCCCCCCCCCCCCCCAATGAAAAAAACGATTAAGAGCAATGGAAAAGTACGGCCGTCACCCGACGTGCCGCCGCTACAACCTGGCACGCGCGGGCTCATCAATCATGAGAGGGCAATCACGAGATTTTCTTGACAAGCGCACGGTGGGGTTTAGTTATTTAATTAGACGCGTTTGTTCGGTTTGCTTTGGGTGGCAGGGGGTGGGTTTTTTTTGGAAAACGTGGGCCGAGTTTGAAGGAGGAGGAGGTGGGGGGGGTGGAGGAGGCGTTGGAATCGGGCGATGTGCCACGTCAAATCCACCCACTTTGTGACTTCCCTCCCGCACCGCGGTTCTGCGCTGTGGAAGGCCAAGGGCACGGCGCAAGATGATTGAGATAATTTTCGAGCGACGGTGAGATCTCGAAAGATCGCTGAAGGCAACCGCCGTGGAGAGGAAAAATACAAACCTCAAATCCCCACACGACACCTCCAATTGAATGCAGTCACGTGACGTACAGCCTCCTTGTCAGTCTTTATCAATCCACTGCTGTGTGAATGCCACGCGCCATGACTTTTGGTCATGTTGGCCATTGCTTGACCATACTTCATCACACTGCACATCCGTGAAAAAGAGCTTCATAGCTCATCGGATTCTTCCATAAAAAATTGAGATTTGACGTTTCTAAATTAAAACGTTTCTGATCAGTGCAGATTGCTGAAGGGGGGTGGGGTTGGGGCAGGGTGCCGGTCCGTTTCGGATATCGCTCGTCACCGACGTTATAGCCGCAGCCACGAATCGAACTCACATGGCCAAGGGTTCGCAGGGCAGCGCGCTGACCGCTGGCACCACCGCTCCACATCGGTGGGAGCAGAGGACTCAGGCCGACAGCTCCCCAGCTGTCAGCCGCACGGTGCGCTCGGCAGAGAAGCGTCCCACACACACACGTCACAGGCGAACCACATTACCTTGCTAGATCTCGTCAAGGAAGATAAACCATCATAACGCAAACTCGGGTCACCCTCGCAGCAGCAGCGGCTTTTGATTAGCCATCGACCAAAGACAGTCACTGCATCGCAGCACTTTCAGATACGCTGCTGTGGCCAGCTGGAACACTCATCCTTCCGATATTAGGAAGCCACTAGAGCTATGGACTTATAAATCGATATTGACAAACGTATTTATTTAGAATAGCTTTTTGTGTTTAGTTTGTTGTCCTTACCGCGCACCTCTGATTAGCACGGTTGGCTAGGTACGGTGCGAAATAAATTCAACATATGTACACACATGTCGCAGATACCAGTGGCTTGGGTCCGTGCCAATATTTTATGGAAGTGCCCTCATTAATATGGAAAAACCTTTCCAAGTTGTCGAGCAGTTTGAAGAACCAGATAAGTAACTGTGAATAACCCAACTAATAACAGTTATGCATTGTAATTCATATGACTACATTAACCCCCCCCCCCCCCCCCTCTGGTCTTCACACCTGATTGACTGACAGTGACGACATCACATCTATCGCTCTATTTAAAGCCGAAACGGGAGGAGGTTTTCATCACAATTCTGGCTGTCGCCTGATGATGGCTAGTTGTAATTACCGGCGAAAAGTCATGCTCGAATAGTGAGTGTTGTGGGTTTACTCTCCAAAACAACCGGTTAGTGCTGAACCAGCAACTAATTGGCACATTGTGTGTACGTGACAAACCTTTCTAAATTGGCTGTGTCGGGTGGTGGCGGGTTTAAGCGGCACATTTATATTTACGCGATCTAACCCCAAAAAACCTCTATTATGGATAGCATTGGTCGCGAAAGCCATACCGCGTGTGAAACTAAATAAATAACTCGTTTCCCGTTTGTGTCTCTCCAAATAAAAAAAAGAGAAATATTATGTTTACATATCCCATAGGCCCCACAGGCATGTGGGAGTGCATTGTATTAGCAGCATGGGTTCTTTGACCAGATTCAACGTTCATTTCCTCATCAGCAGAGTGTGAGGCTTGCTGGTGAACTTCTAGATGCTTATAGGCTTTAAATGGGTCCCAGTTCGATGCAGAGCTATGTAATACATAACACACAGTCATAACACTTTTTTAAGCATCTGGTTAAGATTATGTGTTTGAGGGAGAGTTAAAATTGAAGCGGACGTGATACCAGTCACCACTGTCGTGATGACCGTTATTCGCCAGAACACTCAAAAGACAGGATTTCATGAGGGGAGATTATGAGAATTAGGATGTAACTAAGAGGGATTACATAGACTGTATACATCACGACAGGTCGGCTCCGTGATTTGCTGAGTCAGCGGTAATAACGACGACAGATTTAACGCAGCTTTAGGTGCCAGTTCCAATCTAAATCCCCCAAAAGGAGCAATTTGAGGTGTGATTGAGGTTTGCCAGCCCTGAGGTGCAAAACAACCCCATATATAGCTCTCAAGAGTAATAGGTAGAATATCCCACGATACCTGACGAGGGGAAACTACTTGTAAATGCATCGTCCAGAGTGATGTATCATCATCATTATTATTACTACCGCATTATAGTAATGCATACCGAACAAAAATGGGGACTTTTACGGTCCCCGGGGGAAGACTTACAGATTCCCCGGCATGTGCCACGTCACGAAAGAGGGACGATCCACGGGGAAACCAGGACAAGGGTGGCGACTCCGGCTGTGACGACGATGATGACGAGAGGCTGCGGTGGGTGACGCGCAGCGAGGCAGCGACGTGCCGGCACGCCGTCGTTCGGCTCAAGGGGACCGCGAGGGCGTCTCCGTGCCGGTGTTTAGGTCGTCCCAGCCTCAGCCGTCCGCTCAATTATCATTATTATATATTTGTTTTAACCTCTCACGGCGGTTCGTGCCCCGCCGCCGATCGCTTCAACCTCGTCGATTGTTTTTTTTTACGACCAGAAAGCCGTCGACAACAAAAAAGAAAATAAACTACCACCGTCATCGACGCCATCCCCACTCGCAAACTTCACAGCCACGGGCCGCCGATACGCTCCGGATTTTACGACCGCCCTCCTGTCGTGCCGATTTATATTGTTTATTTCTATTTAACCGACCATTCGGCAATAACTGCTCGCAGTAACACAATGTCCACGCGATGGTTTACTGAAGTGGCAGCAGCAATGCGCTCCCGGGCGGGTGAATGTTGTCGCTCGGTGAGAATGGGCTGTCGCAACGCGCCACGACCGCCCCACGCCACGACCGCCCCAGCGTTACACCGAGAGTTGAACGTTGAACGGCGGTGTGGACGTACACCCCCCCTCCACGCCCGCCACCACGGTGGCAAGATGTTATCTCCCTCACCGGGTATACAGGAGGTCGGGGGTTCGATCCCGACCCCGACGCCTGCTGTATATTTGGACTTTGCATGGTTCTCCCTGTGGTCGCGTGGATTTTTCTCCAGGTCCCTCCGGTTTTTATCCTCCACGTTTAGAATCAACGTGCGTTTTGGTAATTTGGCTGCTATAGGTTTCCACGCGATGACAAGCCACTTCGTTGGACTACCGTTTGTGTCCAGGTCGCTTGTCAAAAAGAACTATACAGCTCGATGGGGCCTTACCTGGTGAAATAAAAAAAATGGATCATAGTTAGTTAATAGTTATTCCAAGACGTTTGGCCAGCGTGGAAGGATAATTCAAAACTCACCGGTAAGAGGGGCTTCTCCAGAGCTCCCTCTAGTGGAGGCCCTGCCATCAGCGGTGATGCGAGCGAGCAATTTCAGGGCTGCACCTTCATCACCCCTCCGTTGCTTCTCGCTGTGGAAAAGCACTCGCTGTAATTAAGCAGCCTCGCGAGACGCGTTCCACGGGGCAACAATGGGGAGGCGTGAGCGATGGACAAAGCAGGCGTGGCACAATAGTCATATCCTTGGACAGGGCATCTATTGCGAACAGCCTATCATCGTAGAGACGATGTCACATTGCGTTGGATACTTTTTTTCACGGGATAGCTTAGCAGACAATGTTCCGGAGGAACCCCCCCCCCCATCCCCCGCCCCGCCATCCCCAGGCAAATGGGAAATCGTCACGCCGAGTGCCATCCTAAAGGGTTCCGTTTGAATTATGCATGGCCGGGTGTCACGACGCGTCTCTCTCATCGGCGATCGCATGCGGAGGAACGATGAAATGGTCCTGAGAAACTTTGCCCCTTTAAGTCAGTCAATGTAAGCCAGAGTGCTTTTCGTGCTTGCTCAAAATGAGCAGCGCTCCGGTTTGCAGCCCCGAGGCAGTGGTGGAAATCGGCCATTCCCACGCCAGCGACGAGAGTCTGATTTACAGGACGACCGCTGTCGGACCTCCCCACACAAAGTGGCGCCTTCATTTGATTGACGGACAGAGGGGGCGACAATGGGCCGAGTCGGCCCCGCAACCATAAGTTGACCTTACGACCTTTCGATGGTGTGCCCCCCCCACCCCCCCCCCCCCTCTACGGCAGGGCCTGCCAGACCGGCTAATTTAAGGCACCACCCAATAGTCTCGGTTAGTTCCCCAAATTGTTTCCCGGATTTTGTTAACAAAAATTTACGAATCTATTTTCTGAACTCTCTCAACTCAAAACATTAGAATGGTGAAATTGTCAGTTTTTTTATATAGGTCAAAGATCATAGGATGTACAAATACCATAGGTCCTGGATTCTTGCCAAGTGGCATACATTTTTTTTATTTTACCAGCTAAGGCCCACTGAGCTGTACAGCTCTTTTTCAGAAGCGCCCTGGCCACATATGATAGCCCAACAAAGTGGCTTGTCAGGTGAAAATGTATAACAGCCAAATACTCAAAACGCACGTTGATTTTTAATATGGAGGGAAAAACCGGAGGACCTGGATAAAAATCCACGCGACCACGGGGAGAGAGACACGCAAACTCCAAATATACAGCAAGCGTCATGATCGGAATCAAACCCACGACCACCTGAAAACCAGTCGAGGTAGTTATCTCACCACCGTGGCACTGACTCAACTAACTTTTTGGTTCTTTCGGTAAAGTCACATAGAAAGAAAACAAATTCAATAATAGAATACGACGTTTCGATTGCAACACAATCAATCGTCTATGTTCTGTCTCTCTCTGTGTGTCTCTGTGTTGTCTCTCTCTCTCTGCTTGTGTGTCTGTCTATGTGTCTCCGTGTCTGTGTTTTGTCTCTCTCTCAAATTGTGTTGCAATAGAAACGTCGTATTCTATTACCTAATTTATTTCTTTCTAAGTGACTTTACCGAAAGAACCACAGAGTAATTCCTGCAGTCTCGAAAGCTTCAAATCAAGTTTGACTCAACTAAGTTCTGCTGCGACATGCACACTGACTCGCGCACGAATGCATTCGCTTACAAAGTAGATGGAGCAGCAGACTGGAGGCAGTAGAATTTCCGTCGTCCTGTTTTCTTCGGCAATGACTCACGTCGTTTGCAGGCGAGACCCCCACACAATCAGACGGGGCCCCCACCCCCCACCCCCCCACCACAAGCTCTTGCACCGACTGCCGTCTTACGCAACGTTGCCTTTGTTACGCGGAAGGCACAACGCGGAGCCATCATTACTTAATGTGAATATTCTTTCCGGTGTAAATTATGCACCTGCAAACGCATCCGCGTGAGCTTCCATGATGTGGTCTAAATTTAAGATGTGAATTTTATGTGTGTGTTTGTATATATAAAAAATAACATGGCTGAGTGAAGCATAATTAATTTCTAATTTAGTTGTTTAATTTAGTTTAAATTAAGTTGTGTAAAACAAACACAAGACAAAGATCCCCCCTATAGCCTTCACAGACTTTTTGGGGCAAGTGCTGTTGGCGAGCACCTATGAAGGCCGGTACGGCGCACAAGGGGGTGTTTGGCCAACACCAACAACCTCCATTCGCCACTAAGTGGCGGTGACGTCACCATGGCCCTTGCGCCAGGCTAGGTGCACTTTGAGGCCACGTGAAGTGTCGAAGGCTCGCTGTATTTTAGCCGGCCGGCGCTGCGCTCGTTGTTGTGAGCGTTGCTCCTCTGCCCTCCGCTGTTGTTGGACGGCGACTGCCTCGAACTGCCCAGTCGCAGTCCTTCACCAGCCCCCTTCATAGAGGGCGATTTTGACACCGCTAGTACCAGTCTCCAGCAAGTCCACTCAACTCACATCCTCCTATACCGAATCTCTTCTCTAGCCCATGCCGCCCTCGTTTAGCCCTCTCTGTCCGGCCAAACGGAAGCTGCTTGGTCAAGCGGTGGCTGCTGAGGAATGTGGAATACATGACCCAGCCAATGCAGCCTCGCCTGCCAGAGGAGCCCTCTGACCGGACTGTGTCCAGAACTTTCATGGTTCTACAAGTTTTTCACACTGCAATCCAGCCTGTTGAAGCTCAGGATGGATCGTAGGCAAGCCAGCCAGAATGTTTCAAACCGGTGCAGATGTTTCTTCAGAAGGGTCCAGGTTTTTCGGCAGCATAGAGCATAGGGAAGGGAGGGCATAACTGTGGCCAAAAGACCTCACTGACAAAGACCTCCCGGTCAGCTTGTAACAGTGCTGTTAGCGAGTACCTATGAAGGCCAGTACAAATTAGTAGCTGGGTGGCCGGCACCATGCCCAGTAGCTATGTTTTCACATCGAACCAGGTTCTCATTAGAGGCTGAGTCGACCTAGGGGAGGCCCACACCCGTTCAGATAATTATCGCCACCAGTGTTGGCCATGAGCGGGAATGGGACTCGGCTCGCTGGGTTCGTGGTGCAGCCTGCTAACCGCTGCGCTAGTGCTCCCCACAAAGACACAGACAACACACACATGCACAAAGACACACACACATGCACAAAGACACACACACATGCACAAAGGCACAGACAGCAGGCACACACCCACCAGCAACACCCACCTGACAGCTGCATGCTTGCCTGCCCTTCCCCGCACCACCCCCCCCCCCCCTGCCCTCCCACAGCTACCTGAAGCGCTTCAAGGTGATGAAGATCAAGCTGATGCGCAGCTGGTGCCGCCAGATCCTCAAGGGGCTGCACTTTCTGCACACGCGCGACCCGCCCATCATCCACCGCGACCTCAAGTGCGACAACGTGTTCATCACGGGGCCCACGGGCTCCGTCAAGATCGGTGACCTGGGCCTCGCCACGCTCAAGAGGGCCTCCTTCGCCAAGAGCGTCATCGGTGAGGGGCGTCGTCGTCATCATCGTCATTGTCGTCATCATCATTGTCGTTGTCATCGTCATCATCGCCATCGTCGTCATCATCATCATTATCATCATAATTATCATCATTATCATCATCATCGTCATTGGCGTTGTCATCATCATCGTCATTGTCGTCATCATTGTCGTCATCATCATCGTCGTCATCATCATCATCATTGTCATCATCATCGTTGTCTTCATCATCATCATCGTCGTCATCATCATCGTCGTCGTCATCGTCGTTGTCATCATCATCATCACACGGTAGGCGCAGCACCTTGACATGGAACTTACCACCATGAGTAACAGTTGCCACGCCGCCCCCCCCCCCCCCACGAGCCCCCCCTTCACCCCCCTCCCGCGCGGGGTGGCACGATCGCGGTGACCCCCCTCCATCATTGTCGCCGCCGCCGCAGGCACGCCGGAGTTCATGGCCCCAGAGATGTACGAGGAGCACTACGACGAGTCGGTGGACGTGTACGCGTTCGGCATGTGCATGCTGGAGATGGCCACGTCCGAGTACCCCTACTCCGAGTGCCACAACGCCGCGCAGATCTACCGCCGCGTCACCAACGTGAGTGCCGGCGTGCGCGCGCGAGTACACGCACACACACGTGAGTACACGTGGACAGATTGTCGGGGCAAGTTCCCAGTTGCGAACGCGCGACCGCTGAGCTACGCCACCGCTCACGTGCATTGTCTGCACCTGCAGACGCGGCTGCAAACGGCTATACGCACACACACACACGCTCACACACACTCACACGCTCACAGACACGCTCACACACACGCACACGCTCACACACGCGCTCACACACACACACACGCTCACACACACGCACACGCTCACACACACACGCTCACACACACACGCTCACGTGGAAACACAAACGCACGCGCAGACACACACACGCGCACACGCTCACACACGCACACACACACACACGCACACACGCACACACACACACACGCTCACACACACACGGTCACGTGGAAACACAAACGCACGCGCAGACACACACACACTCACACGCTCACACACACGCACACACACACACGCACACGCTCACACGCTCACACACACGCACACACACGCACACGCTCACACACACGCACGCGCTCACACACACGCACACACACTCACACGCTCACGCACACACACACACGCACACACACACACGGTCACGTGGAAACACGAACGCACGCGCAGACACACAGTGCACGAACACCCACGTGGTGGGATAAAGTTTGGGTGATCCATTTCCAAGACGCGTCCGGCCAGCGTGTGAGAGTAGGCCATCATGCCCACTGGAGCGGCTCTGGTGGCATCAGCAAGCAATCGCAGGCAGGGCTGCACCTCTGACCGAGCGAGAGGGTGCGTGAGCGGGTTAAAGCCCAACACGGTTTTTTAAATCGTTTGCCATCGATGTCGTGAGTCACGGCCTCGGCTTGCGTGCGGGTCGCCGGGATCGGAGCGTCAGCGCGTAAACAACGCCGTCACTGCGGCGCTTGCGATGGAATAAAAATCTCCCACTCCGCGTCTTCAAGAAGGAGCCGTGTCTTCACTCGACACTGCTTTTGATGCCAAAACAATGAACCTCCGATCAGCACGGTTGGCTTCAACATACATACGTAAATATATTTTTTGGGATTCGGACCACGTGGTAGTATTAAGCATTGGGTCACAATTCGTCATGATAATTAGTTAATTTCCGTATCACCAGTACGTGTATCCTACACCAGGGTGGCGAGATGTTAACTCCCTCGCCTGGTATACAGGACAACATGGGTTCGATCTCAACCTGTACTCCTGTTTATGGATTTTTCTCCGGTTTTTCCCTCCACATTTAGAAACATGCTGGTATAAATTTCCACGTGATAAGCCACGTCATTGGGCTATCGTTTGTGGCCAGGTCGCTTCTGAAAAAGAGCTGTATAGGAGCTCAGTGGGCCTGACCTGATAAAATAGAAAAGTTTTATTTTATCTTGCTTGGCAAGAACCTGGCACCAATGGTATATGACGATGTGCTTTTGGGCCGTCCATAAATGACGTTACGCACCTGGGGGGGGGGGGGGGGGGGGGGGTCAGACATTTATGACGATGTGTGACGAGGGGGGGGGGTTTGAGAAATGTGACGTCACATCAAAATGCGCAACTTTAGATAAATATAGACAACACGTTCTACTTAATTAAATAGACTTTTTAATAAATGTTTTCTCCTACATCAGAGTGCAGCGCCACATTAAATGCGCACTACAATGACAATAGTTTAAAGCGATTTGAAGCATGTTTTATATTTTGGGGGGGGGGGGGGGGGGTAGAGCTTTGTGACGTCATATTTGAGGGGGGGTCTGACTTTTTGTGACGCTGTGTGACGATGGGGGGGGGGGGGTCAAAAATCGTCAAAAATCGCGTGACGTCATTTATGGACGGTCAGTTTGTACATCCTATGACCTTTAACCTATGGTTAAATGAAAAAAACACTAACCATTTCTGGTCAGGTCACTTTTGAAGAAGAAGCTGTATATAGCTCAGCAGCACGTACCATACTCGAATCGGCAGAGAAACGGAACTGTGACGTGTCTGTGTGCCCAGGGACTTTACCCTTGCCACACATCTCAAGGCAGTCGACCCGTGGCGCCTGGGCCTGTCCCGTGACCTCCTGCCAGCGGGCGTTCGACACTTCACATGGCCTTAAAGTGCACCTAGCCTGGCACAAGCGCCGCGGGGACGTCACCGCCACCTAGTGGCGAGTGGCGGTTGTTGTTGTTTACCGTTGCCACTCCTTGCGCTCGACAATGTCCCCGCTTAGCCGACGTGCCACAGATCACCCGGCGGCCGGAAACCCCCGACTGCAGCCGGAGTAGTAAGTTACCAGCCGGAGTCCGTGATGCAATTGTCCGGCACGAACGCCTTTGCCCTTTGCGTGCGTCGTAACGTAAGGCGAGCGGTCGGTCGAGGAGCCGGGGGGGCAGGGGCGGCTGACGGAGCCGGGGACCATTGTGCCCGCTGGCGATAAGTCACGCGGTTGGGGAAGGGACCGGCCGACTTATCAGACGGCCCTCCTCGTGATCGCAAAATCTACTTGGAGAAGGGACACCCATCGGACTCCCCCTGTCCCCCCTTACCCCCCTCCTCCTCCTCCTCCCCATCCACCCGGGCGATTGCGACGGTGTCTGAAGACGGCCGGAAAAAACCGAACGGCTCCTTGAAACCTGCGCGCGCTCGGCACAAACCCACCCGGGGTGCCTCTCGCCAAGGCAGAGAGACTGCAGCGAGGGACAATTCAAATGATTGATTGCCCTTCTGGCCTTCTGGAATGACAAGAATCTGAAACTCTAGAAAATTCTGGATTTTTTCTCTCTCTCTCTCTCAGCTAGTTTTTGCTACGCTAATTTACAGTGCCGTGTGTATTTTTTGTCGCTGATGTCATCTACGGAACCCCTCACCAAAGGCTAAGCATCTCTCTCTCTGTCAAGGCTCAAAGCCTCAACTGTTTGTCACGGATAAGATGACTCATCCTCCTCAAGCGGCTTCAACTAACGAGCGAGCCAATTACTTTGGCATTATGTGGGACACTCCGGTGGAGCTGCAGATTGAGGGATGATCCTTCAGATGGCAGAGCAGCTCACAGAACCGCGGGTCCGCGCGCTCCCCGCTAATGCAAAGAGATGACCAAAGCAATTGTGTATTACCACTCTAAGCCTCTCCTGGCACCCACAATACACCCCTATTGTACTGCGGGTTTAGATAATGCAATTAATTATCTGCGGGCTATTGTGGTTGGCATCTCTCCGAGGTCAATTAATCAAGTGCCATTGTGGGAAGGCGGTAGTTGTCATAGTCATATGGATAGACTGGTCCCCCGCCATGAGAATGTGGAATTGCCGCCAGTGGAGTGACGTAGGTCTGGTGACAGGGACGAGTTATGGCTGACACAACGGAGACGCTCTGACGTTGCAGGATTTGGTTCAAGCCTGCGTCATTGCGTATTCTGGATGCAGTCTAATCCCTAAAGATAGCGACATCTCGAGTACGTATGAGCAGATGAGGCGAGCGTATATCTTCACGTGGTGTCTCTTCGAACAGCCGGTGGCCAAATCGCCATCCTGGTGGATCTTGAAAAAACTAAGCAGGCATGAGCCTGCGGAGCGCGTTATCTATGGGAAGGTTGTGGCAGGCTTGGACTGCGGGAGCGGCCATGAGCTCATAGCACAGCAGCGGATTAGATTTATACGGCATCTCAAAGCTACCGCTACCTCAACGCGCCTCCGATTAGCGCGGCTGGCTACATACGGTGCGAAGGAATTAACAAAAATACATGCGTCCACTGCGCTCCGTAGAACGGTGAGGACATTCTTTTGGCGAGAGAGGCAGGCAGTCATAGACCATGGGGGTAAAAAAAAAGGATAAATCTTGAGCCTGGACTTGAACAGGGGCAGGAAACCGACAGCACGGGCAGCAGAAGGAAGGGATTCACTCTGCACAGAGCTTGGAGCGTGCTCCCCTCATACTCGTGGGGCTTTTTCTCCAGCTATTGATGTTGCCTCCGACACGTGCCGAACGTTGCACACAACGTGCTTGCCACAAATGAACCACAGCACCTCGCCGATCTCGTCAAAGGGGCATTGAACCATCATCGCGCGAACTCCGCTCATGATCCTCGCAGCGGCGTCATCGCGCGGCGCTTTCCGATGCGCTTCTGCGGCCGTCTGGAACGCTCTTCCCTCCGAGACTAGGAAGCCACTGGAGCAGTGCACTTTTAAATCGTCATCATCTAGATCGACAAGCTCGTTTCTTTAAAACTGCGGGTTGTGTCCGATTTGTTGTCCTTCCAGCGCACCTCCGATTAGCGCGGTTGGGCTACGTACGCTGCGAAAACGATGTCAACATACACACACGAAGACTCATCACTCAAGTTGCCCAAACACTCAAATCTGGGTTTGAGTCAAGATTTCAGCCGCCTGTAATTGAGCCGAGTTTTCCCACTTGCCCCCTTACTCAGACGACTTGCGCTGGATTCCCCTCCTTTTGATCCACGCTCCTTTCATCCAGACAGATCCGCTGCTGCTGCTGCTGCCACTGTACGAAGTCCCAACGCGCTGTCGATGGCGCGCTGGCATCAAGAGGCGGTGGCGACTTTCAGAACCCTCGCAAAAGAGAGCAGCAGCTCCACCTTGCGTCAGAGTAGGGCCCTGGCAGATAACGTCACGTAACCATACCTCTGAAAGCCTCTTCAATAGCCCCCCCCCCCGCCCGCAATGGTGACTGGCTTCCAAAGATGAGCAAATTCAGACGGCCGTGTTGCCTGACCTGGAACAGCGGCCCCTTGTTCCGTGAATCAACGATGCGACTTCCTAGCGGGATTGTGGGATCAGCAGAATCGTGGATTCGTGATGCAGTTGACCAGACGGTAAAGAATAAGTGAGTAAAGAAGCCCATGGGGGAATGCCACCCAGCCAGCCAGCTCTCTAGGCCAGATAGACCAGCCAAGGGGGTGGTAGGTACACAATCCTGGTGTCGAGAAACAATAGCAACCCTGCAAACCCCAGTGAGTCATCTTACCAGGCGAG